GCTGCCCCGCAATCTCATAAAAATCAATATACTAGTCTACTTTAGTCCGTACTTACATGCAGAGAGTCCAATTTAATATCTGCTTATTTAGATAAGCCTCATGAGGGAATTTATGTCTTTTGAGGTATCAATTTTTGTTTTAAATTCCAATTTTGGTTAAATTCGTAAAACATGAAATCGCAGAATTGGAAATGTCACTAAAAAGTATTTAATTAATATACTCTTAGATATACTCCAAATACTAGGCATATTCTAACTAGAGGTGATATACATTTGACAGACATTTGTACATAATAATAAATGGAAAAGGAATATCCTAAATTTATTAAAAAACTATCGAAACTAATTGATCCATTTTAATTTGGGTTCCTCATTTAATTAGCGAGAAATTGCCATCCGATTATTTATCAGTGATATTCCGATTTTTAAAAGGCATTAGTTCATTAATAGAAAACATTTTCCATTCTGTAGGCATATTTATTTTTATGCATTTTATTAAAATTTTTAACTATCATGAAATTAGAACCCAGATACTCGTTGTAAAGTTGCCTAAACGATTCGGGACTTTACTTATTTAAATTTAATTCTATTCAATTAATTAAAAGATATTGTTACAAAAAAAAAAATTAACAGTAGTATAACGAATACCACAGTTTCTATATATAAATTCTACATTTGTTATATTTGACAGATAGAAAGTATTCGATTTTGGGAATTTAATTAGACAAATATCCAGCGATATTAAATTTAGTTAGCAATTCTTTTTGCCTTCACTGCATAACAAAATTTCAAGTTAAAGTTAAATTTCCAATTGATGCTCAAGTGTTGTCGCCCGTGTGAGGCCTCATTTAGTTTGTAAGTTTTGAATAAGTAGACTTTTAGACATTATCAAGGAGAGTTTAGGAATAGTTCGACTTATGTTTGTATTTATATGATTATCTTGTTTTTCCATTTATTCTTTTATTATTAGCTTAAGGTTGTGGGTTTTTTCGCGGCTAGAGGTAAAGGTGCGTTTAACGGCCAATTGAATCTACTCGTTGCTCACTTATAATCTACACGCTTACGATTGAAACTCTTGTAGTGCTCGATGCTGTTTATAGGCACACGGCATTGCATATTCTCTTAATCTATTTCAATTGTAGGACATTTAGTTTTAAAAGTGTATAAACCAAATTTCTGTTATAATTTTGCTAATTATTTTCTTTTCTTTTAATTTCTGTACACCTACAAATCCAAAAACCACACAAATGTAAACGCAACTGCCTTTGCTATCCGTAGACCATCACGCTCACACTATCGCCGTGGACAGTTATGACCAACGGATGGTGTGCTAGTGACCGATCTGTAACAGCCATAAAACTAAGAAACCAACACAAAAAAACCAAAACATTCGACAACTATCTTTCCAACACCACAAACAACGCACACACACACAAATCGAACTCTCTTCTGTACACACTCTGAAAACTACATTTAACATGGTGCAAGCAGCCGACCCAGCGAATTCCGGTTCCTAACTACGTAATTAATCTTGATTGTGACACTAGAAGCATATATTCTAGACACTCATCAAATCAATGTGAACACACCCAAATGAAATCAATCAACGAATTTGTTAATGGATTATTACTCGTTGTACATACGATTACTTTCAATCCAACGAGAACAGCGACAACGAATTGCGAATGCGACGCCCCCACATACAAGCTGCATAGCTTCGACGAGTTGCCAATGTAATAGAGAAGTTGCCATGCTGAGAGTACTCGCTACTCGCTACTCGCCACTCGTTGCCCGTTACTCGTTGCTCGTTACTGTTTATATTGTATTGCATTCAATTCATTTTTTACGTTGCTATTCGTGCTCGCAATTGTGCAATTGTCTCAAATTTGTATATTTTAACGGAAAAAAAATGTCTTGTGCGGCTTTTCAAGCGCCTGTGCCACGCGCTCTCTGCAACAAATGCGCATCCGTAACAAATCAAACTAATGTAACTAGTATATCATACTTGTATCATTTGACAGCCATCATTATCGAACGTGAATACTAATTCCTAACCATTAGTTTATGCGCTAAGCAAATCTTAACAATTGTTCGTTAGCTGTACAAAATGTTTGCCTTGTCTTGTACTTACCTTAACTAATTAACTCGTTCTCGTCATCATTCATACTATATGATATATCTTAATGGATCTAACCCTTTAACTAATACAACATTCACACATATAGACAACAATTAAAAGCTTAGTTAGTCGCTAGTTTAGCACTCATTTTGTATTCGCTACACTCATTCAATATATATTTTGAACTGATTTACATGATATACTGTATTATCTGCCTGTTCTAAAAATATAATCTCTCTCTACTCTCTGCTTATGCCGATGCTCTTCATCTACCAGTGTCCAGCGACCGGCCAACAATCTGACCATCACGGGCAGCATAAACTACAGTCCAAGAAATTCAGTGGAAAACGATGCCTGGATGCTTGGTGAATCGTCGGAGTATGGCGAATATCCCGAAGACTACGACGACGACGTGGAGGAGCAGGAGGATAACGAATATGTGGCCAGGCAAGAAGAGTCCGACGATGTATTCGAGGTGGAAACAGCGGAGACCACGGGCTAGGACAGCGGCCAGCAGCAAGTTAAACCAGCAACAGTGATATATTAAAGCGATTCTATATACATATATATATATATATATATATATATATATATATATATTTAACAATTTATGTAAATCATAGTAAGCGCAATGCGATTTAGTTATAATCCTTTCCTACATTGTAACAACTTTGGGTTTGCATACCACACATTTGATATGAAATGATTTTGATTTATATTAACTGAAGTTTACAAATATGGGCAAGGCAGAATGAATCTGTCTTGAATAAAATGAGTGAATACTTTGCAGAGTATAGTAAGACGAATGTTATTATTACGATGCTGTCCAAAACGCCATAACTGAAACAAAAGTCAAACAAAGTATATTTTAAAAGGAACTTTACTGCATATAAGAATTTTAAATGAGAACTACAATAGAAACTGAATTCAAAATATGATCTATGCTTAGTTTAAAGTTAATATACCATATATATTTCGTCTTCTGTTATACAAATGATGTTCAACAACTAAAAGATACTCAAAAAAAAGCGAGCGCTGGCCTTATATCGTTAGTAAGTCCGATAAGAACGTAGACTGCAAACAAGTATCCTAAGAATACGGAATTGATTTAAAAACTGTGCTTAAAACTGAATACTTTCCGGATTTACTCGATTTCTGCGCCTCAGCACGACAAACTCTCATAATGAACGAATTGTTTGTAGATTTTGTATGCGTACACAAAGTATATTAAACACAAAATGTCCTTACAGATACATATACTAAATATTAATATATATAATTTTTATATAATAACGAGTACGAGTAGGGTATATACTCATTTGGTATTTGCTTTTAAAACGCCCAAATTGTTTAAGTATTTTTAACGTTTACGTGCAGCTTTCAATGCTTTCAAGCAGAATCAACTGAATATGACTTAATCTAAATAGATCTAGATTATAAACTATAAACTAAATATTGTAATTCATAATGGTGTCGGTGTCCATTTTATCAGCCACTGAACTTTCAAGTCACAAATTGATGTAGCTGCTCCTTGATTTTAAAAATCTGTTTTCAATTCAAACCGTCTATAAAAAATTGATCATTTTTGTTAAATTCAAACAAAACGTGTATTGTACAATTGTTTATTGTTGTTTTATTTCTAGAGGCAAAAAATAAAATGCGACTATTAAAGCTGAAAAAAGCTGATTTTGTGCAATATTCTTTAGATGTAAACATTTTTTAATATGTTCTAATATTCCTTTTACATATATATCAGTGGTTATATTATGTACAACATTTTCAGTCAGTTCCCGCCCGTAGATTTAAGTCTGCCTGTAATATCCTGAACTCCACGTCTATTTGAAATTATCTTTAAGATCCATCGAATACAATTCAAAAGTTGGAATCAACGGTCTCCGCCAATGTAAGTCTTGTGGTGAGAAACTTGAAGCTGTTCATTAAACCTTTGACCCGTATTTTCAATCCAAGAGCGGTGAATTTCGCGAAAAATCTATCAAATAAACAACAATGGTAAACAAAAAGGTCTCATTCAATTCAGGAATTTTCCTGAAACAAAAGGTACCTACAGTAACTCAGTCTCAGTCACTCAATTAGTTAGGTCTAACAGTTTAATTTTAAGAGATTTATATATTACTAGCGGGTATAACCCGGCCTTGCCCGTGGCACGTATGTTATAAAATCAATGTTTTCAAAAAGCTTTGAAACTGATCGGACGGGAATCAAACAACTTTTATGCAAATCGGACAAAACTTAAAATTCACCAAAACAATCTTTGAAATGTATTTTCCACCGAAGGAGTTTAGATTTTGCGAAAAATGTGAAACACGATGAATCGATTTTTCGAAAAGTGTGAAACGCCCCCCAAATGAATTTGAACCAAAGATCTTTGAAAATAAGTTTGGGGCCGATCGGATGGTAAACAAAAAAGTTACATACAAAAGTTTTTCGCGATTTTTCCACACTTGCGGGTGGAATTTCCCGAAACCCCGCCTTAACGTGCACCTACATATGTACATCACATAAGGTAACTACAGTGAAAATTTCAGCTTCCTAGCTGTTACGATTTGGGCTGTGCGTTGATCACCAATCAGTCAGTCAGTCAGTCAGTCAGTCAGTCAGTCAGTCAGGACAAACAGTTTTATATATAGAGATATATTGAATTTAAAATCAGATGATATCGAGAAAAAGCCAAAGCAAATGAATTTCCCTATTTGCAATCTATCAACATTCCAATGAAGGTCACTTAAGGCCTGGCCCTTGCCTTTTGTTTATTTATATATATATTGAGTCTCTGATCTACTGATAATCGCTTCAAATCGCCGAAATATTGGACACACGTTCTTCCGAATGATTGCCGTATTTCAGTCTATTTACATGCGTGCTGAGTGCAGTTGAGATTCGCATTTCAATTTCAAAATCAAAGTGCTATCAAAATGAAATGTGTTGTGTTTATATATATTCTATTTGCAAGCATAACACTGATCATAACTAAAGCAGAGGCTAACGAAAATGAGGTAAAAACAGATTATTTATTAATATTTGTGTGCAATGCAGAAAATAAATCATACTCTTTTTTATTAGTCTTGTGTGGCAACCAGAATAGCAGAGGAAGAATGTGGAGAGCACACCTATAAAGCAGTTAGACCTTTGTTAAAGTATATTCATCAGATGAAGGAGGAAATTGAAAACAATAACAATAAGGTTGAAGGCAAAGACAGGGAAATCAAGCAACTGCAGGAAAAACTTAGCCAACGTAATGATTTGGTCATCGAGGAACTGAGAGCTCAGAATGAATTCTACAAACAGAGTATCAAAGAGCTAACGAACAACGTTTTGTCAATAAAAGAGGAAATGGGTAAACCCAATTCCAATGCCTTGAAAATCCAGGACTATGAAGAGCAGCTGGAGAAACAAAAGAAGTCAATTGATCAACAGGCCCAACAAATATCCCAACTCAAAAACGAAATCAACATTTGTGCCAAGAAACTAAAAAGCTGCGAAGAGAAGCCCGTTTACGGCGAATGCACCGACTTTGCTGATGCTCCGGGTATTCATAAGATTAACCCGGATCCGTTCGATGTTCTTTGTGATAGTGCGACAGCAGGTTGGACGGTTATCCAGCAGCGAATCAATGGAAAGGAGGATTTCTACAGGAATTGGACCTCTTACCGAGAAGGTTTCGGTTCCTTTGATGGCGACTTCTTTCTCGGTCTCGAGAGGATTCATCGCTTGACGCGCGCCCAGCCCCACGAGCTCTACATACATATGGAAAGATTTGATGGTGACATCAAATACAGAAGATACGAACAATTTGCCATTTCTGGCGAGGAGGACCAATACACCTTGATCACCTTGGCGAAATCTGAGGGCAGTGCAACTAAGCAATTGGAATACCACAAAGATAGCAAATTCACCACATACGATCGCGACAATGACAATTGGGATTCTGGCAACTGCGCAAGCCGAGACTTGCATGGTGGTGGTTGGTGGTACCATAGATGTGCATCCAGGTATTGATCGCTACAGCTTTGTCAAAGCAATTTATATGCAATTAATTTTTATATTGTTTTTTTGTTTAGCAATTTAAATGGAATATACTATGATCATGAGGTGAGCGATTTAGATGCCATATATTGGGATGATTATTACTCCTTGAGGACAGTCAAAATGCTTATACGCCCTAAAAGCAGTGGAAAATAAAATCAACAACAAATATGTATAGCATTTATTGTAAAAAAGCTTAAATTGTCGTAAAATGTATTTATAAATAAATGCAGATGCTGTAATCGCAACTAAAAACCACAACAGAAAGGAACCCAAATATATTAAATTCGACGCATATCAAACAAATTCAAATGAAATAGAATTCGATATTATAACAAATTTCTTTAATTTACTTCTATGTAAAGTTGGATGCAAAGTTATGATCACGCATTACTAGGCACACTTGGTCGACCTGGTCGCTGCTGTCTGAGATCTTTCCACAGAAGCTGGCACTGTTTGCTGATGGCATTGATGCCTTCGTGCAGATTGCCTGTCCACGCCTGTCCATCCTGCTGAATCCCTATGAGCTATCCGTGGTGCTGGGCTACATTGAGTCACATTGACGCCAGATAATGCCTCGCCACGCAGCAATGCTTATCCCATGGACTTCTATGCCAGCCACCAGCGCTGGGTGAATGCGAGAAGAAGTTTGCCCGCGGCAGACTGTTGTTGGAGAAGGACGAAACCGGCAAGGCGGCATATGGCAGCATTAGCCGACATATGTACTTGATTTCAAGAAGGGCTAAAAGATAATACAATTTGCAGTGTGAGCACACCTGAAGCTCTCCTCATTTCTATCTAGGTAATCACCTATGTTTATGTTTATGTGCCCGCCCAGCCCAAATGTAATATGGTGTACCCACTAATTTAAGTTAGTACAAATTTGATTTCTAGCTTATATAGCGCTATGTAAATTATCCTTTTATCCTTTTGATAACGTGACAGCATTCATAAAATATTCTAATTTCTAGTTCGATTTCTAGAAACAAATATTACAAGCAATTGTTTATAATGCAATTTATAATGCAATTTCATTAGCATCACGCCATGTATTTATATTTCCAAATATATCTCTTATTAGCTTGAACCAATTCAGAGCTAGCATTAGCATTATTTTGATTTCTAACTAACTGACTGTCAATAGAAAGAAATGGGCCTCAAGGCGAAGTCGGCTTCCGGATATAAAACTTTGTTGATTGTTATCCGGACTGTCTCAGACTGTATTTTAAAACTATTTACATACGCACGATCTACAGCACGTGCGGAAAGTGGCGGGAAAGCTGCTGGATTACCTATTACGCATTGAACCATATTTCTTAAGGGCATTTTATTCCAGAAGTTGCGAGCTATGACCGTGGAAAGAATAAAATAAGTGATCTGAAAGATCATTGAAATGAGTTTGAAACCAATCGCACGGTAAACAAAAAACTAGCTTACAACTGTTTTCCGCAAATTTCCCACTGTTGCGGGTGGAATTTCCCAAATCACTGAAACACGTATTCATTAAATTCTTATGTACAGCTCTGAAAATAAGTTTGAAGCATTTCGAACAAAACCTAAAAACAAAAATAATCTTGCCAGATTTAGATGCCAAATTGATCTAAGGGCCAAGCAATGAACAAAGGCCCAAACCTCGTGAAAATCGGATGAGTTTTTGGGAAATTTTGACTTATGTCTATATACGATAAACACAGGTGCCCGTGGTACGTATAAGATAAATTCTTTAAATTTGAAACCGATCGGATGGTTAACAGAAAAGTTACATACAAACGTTTTTCGCGATTTTCCCACACTTGCTAGTGGAATTTCCCGAAACCCCGTCTTAACGTGCACCTACATCACATAAGGTAACAACAGTGAAAATTTCAGCTTCCTAGCTCTTACGGTTTGGGCTGTGCGTTGATCACCAATCAGTCAGTCAGTCAGTCAGTCAGGACAATTTCGGACTGCTTCAGTTGCTCAGAAATATTGATGGTGTGGAAAAAAGTGTAGCATACTTTTGTGCGCATTAACAAAAGCTTTTGATATATGAAAATTAAATGTTGCAAATGTTGGAAACAAAAGAGGATGTTCGTAATTTTCGAATAACATTTCCATGTAATTGAGAAATATTTTGATGAAAATAAGAATACCTCAACAACAAGACAAGAACAACAATCAAAAAACAAAATGCCGCATAACATGCTCTTTGATATGCGCCCTTGTTGGGCGGGGCTGGAGTTAGGGGCGGGGCGGCATTGGATTTGTATTGTTAGCAGCGGAAATGCCAATTAGAGATTTCATGTAATGTTGAAAACAAAAAACCAAAGCTAAACAAAAATAACAACAAGAATTTCGGTGTACTGGGGATAAGCAAAGGGGGGACGAATGCCGAGAGCCCAGCAAAAAACAAAGCATAGTAAAATGAAGCAAAACTAATTAAATTAAATAAAATAGAATAGAATTGTAAGCAACGCGCGGGTAAAAAGAAGCAACAGCAACAGCAACAACAACAGCGAAAGCAAAACAAATAAAAGAGCCATAAATATTTATCAAAAGAAATAACAAAACAATCTGTGAAAAAATGCCTGAAATTAACAACAACAATGAAATGTTTGTTGTTGTTGTTATGCAATTTGCCTGATAAATGAATTAATAAAATGTTATGCAGCAACAGCTAAATACAGTCGAAATTTAAGAAAACAATTCAAATTATGAATATTTTTATTATTATTATTATGCCTGACTGAGCCGAGATAGAAGTCTATTTCCAGAATAAGTTCAGTTCTTTTGACTATGCCCAAACAATTCAGTTCCATGAATTCGTATGCTTCACAAGGTTCAGGGCTGCAAAACCAAAATGAGTTGGTCCCTGGTTCGGTTCACGGTTCCCTGCACTAAGGTTCAGTTCGTGGAGATGCTTGATTTTGGTTCAAGTTTTGTTTTGTAATGAAGCAATTTAATTTTGAATTATTTTAATAATTGTTGAACTGGAAATAGTGTTTCATATTTTCATATTAAAAACGAGGGCTAAAATTGATATGTGCCCAATAATTGGCATCTGCCAAATATGGTAGCAATGCAATTATTAGGGCCAAAGTTATTTATACTTTGGAGCAAGATCTAACTAAAATTTGATTAAATTTTGACCACTTTGTTATACGCGGCTTTTGGACAATTTGACTAAAGCTTCGATATACGGTAAACCATTAATTGGAAGTCAGATTTCGAGTTGGTTCGCAATCATGATAAAAGTTCTTCAGTTTAGGCAGTTGTTTATTTACAATCAATCGTTGAAAACTGAACCAGTTCGAAGCTTTTTCTACAGCTAAAATCTGTAAACATCAAAAACTATATTCAATGCTTGAAACCAAAAGGTGAGTTGTGGAACGTTTGTGGAAGAGCAGCTTCACGAAATGGCACTGGTTCAAACCCTGAATCGAACCACCGACAAATTCTTGTTGGTGTTTATAATAATGATTTCTAATAAGGCAGTCTCGCCTCGTGATTTCTTCAGAGTTGATCGGTTCTATTGAAATGTTAATGCTTTCTTCTTTCTGTGTGTTTAGTCTGGCATTTGGCAACTGAATTATTTACGATTTTTCGATTATTGTTGGCCAAGATATTTGGGCAATAAACAAATAATGCTTAATGTGCCTACGAGATCTTAAACAATGCGAATTATTATTTACGAAATGAATTGAAAACTCTCAAAATGTATACAACACATTGCCGGATACTTGAGGCCACTTGAATCGATTTGATATAATATATGGCATTCTTTTTTATGGTATGCCCCCATCCGAAGTGAGCTCCGCTGATTGCGTCAGCGACTCACAAGAATTGTCAGTTGTGTTTTTGATGAGGACAAGAATTGTTTAATATAAATATCTTAGTTACATTATTAGCAAGCTATTCGTGCGGATAAAGCCGCTTGAAGTTATAGTATAAGCTGGGATTGTGCACATCATAGATGGGATGCTTCATGACGATATGCCTGAAGTGCCAGTGCTCCAGGAGCAGCACAAGAGTCGACACCAGATAGCCAATGGCCAGTGCCACGAAGGAGCTCCAAAACTTGTGCAGATTCATGAGCGCCTCCTGCGGCGCCTGCTCCTCGGCTGGCAAACGTTTGATCACATCCCGCAGCCATTTGGCAATCAGACCTGACCCAGAGAGAGAGAGAGAGGGGGGTTTAGATGGAGCTGAGTCGAATGGTTTGCTGCACCCACCGCCCTCGCCTAGGTGCTGTATGATGCTGTCGACGTGCGGCTTCAGCGCCGAATTCTTCTCCAGAGCCAGCGCCACGGGCATATGGACGACGCACTCCCTCATGATGTGCAGGGCCCCCATTGCCACACCATGTGTCTCATCTGCCACACGCAAATATCTCAGAAAGAACTCGTTGTCGTAGTAGGCGCACTGACCCCTAGCTATGCGCTTGGTCTGGCCGGGATCAGGAGTCAGCACATATGCAGGAGTTTTCTATATAATCTTGTCATGCTCACCAAGTCGTCGAGCTGCTCCACTATTTCCATGCGGGCGCCCACCTCGCGGGCTGTCTCATCGCTGGACTCTAGAAAAAACTGCTTGTTGTCGGCTGCTCCAGTTGTGGGCGGAATGCGGGCGCGGCTCAGATCCTGGAGCGTGTCAATGGTGACGCTGAGTGAAAGGAATATAGGCGAGCATATTGGAATATTGAATGATGCGCATGCCATACCTGGCCGCCGGATTGGCCAGAATGGCCGTAAAGCTGGCCCTGTAGGTGGCCACCAGCAGGATGCAGTAGACCCAATACCAGCCTGTGAGCACGCGCAGCGGCCAGTTGCGCGGCATGCGGGGCAGAGCCACATAGAGCAGCATGCTGTACGTGAGCAGAATGCAATTCGAATAGTTATCGAAGATGTCCCGCCGAGCAGCCTCCAGCTGGGGTCTTGGACGATGCCTGCCCAGGGTAATGCGAAAGCTTAAGCGCTGCCAGCTGAGCGGATCCCGACGTAGCTGCCTCCGTCCCCGCTCCCGTCCCCGTCCCCGTCTCCGGCGCAGGCAGCGAAAGAAGGCCAACCGGCTGCTGCTGCCCATGAGCAGCGCATTCAAGTAGCTGATGAGATAGAAGATGGTGCCGACGGCCACCAGGGAGAGCAGAACGCCAGCCCACATGCCGCCGCTAAAGGGCAGTATGAAGGTCTGCCAGGATTTGTCCGTCGAGGATTCGGGCGTCAGGAACGTCAGGCACTCAACGCTGTGAGGCACACTCAGCTCCACGAGCTGCACATAGCTCTGGAACAGATGCAGATCCCCGATGCCAAAGCGAGCCTTGTGTTGCGCCTGTCGAGAGATAGCTCAGGGCTCGGGCATCATATCATACCAAAAACTTACCACTTCCCCAACCAGACCTCGCTCCTCTCTGCGGGTCTCGTTCCCCTGCAGCGACTGCTCCCAGTCGCTGGCGTCGCTCTCATTAACTGCATAATAAAGCGGCTGGAAATTTAGGGCCTTGGCCAAGGAGTTCATGATTTCCACCTCAACGCCTTGATAAGTATTCGTGGTTCGATTCAGTTGCACCATCGGCACGTGCTCAGCAATGGCCACCGCCAGTTGAGCACCTGGAAATATAGTTGGAATCAATTCATTCATTGGATTCATTCCACACAGAACCAGTTAAGTAACATACATGTTTTCCCTATATTAATTATTAAATAATTAAAATAAATTTTTGCAGAAAGGTTGCAAATAACAAAAGTCGTTCATTTTGACTTACTCTGCTTATATAATATTCGGATATACATATATATTAAATCCAAGCCTAAGCTTGTTATACCCTTGTAGAGGGATTATAATTTTGGCATGCAATATGTAACGCACAGAAGAAGAAGATATGTTCGACCCAATCGAGTATATATGTTGTAGATCAGCATCAACAGCCGAGTTTATATAGACATGTCCGTCTGTCCGTCCATCCGTCTGTCTGTTTCTACACAAACAAGTCTCTACATTTTGAAGCTTCTCTACTCTCACATATTTGCAAAACCACAAAGCTAATGTCTGCAAGGATATTAAGCCTTCGTTGTAAGAGGTAGTACACAAATTATTATAATAATTATATAAGCGGGACTGCCCGACTATGATATACCCTGAACTCAGCAACGAACTGCTGCTATAAACACTTCACTTCCTATAATACAGATACACACAAAAAGACAAACACGCGAATCGCCTATCCCAAACCATATTTTGGAAAGGCATTCTTGATTAACTTTGATGTTCCGATCCTTATGAAACGTGTAGGGCATAATTTTGATATAGAAAAGCATATCAATATATACCAAAGCGCAAAATGCAAAAGACCCAATCGTATCTACTTTTAATAGTACAATTTGAGGGGGGAATGGGAAAAAGTATCCATAAAGTTAATTATTTTTTAGCAGTCTATACTAAACTAAACCCTGCAGACAAAGTTTGCTTTCTCTAGCTATTATAATTTTCGAAATATGCTCAAAACCCATATGGAAATAGGAGAAGATATGAGCTAGGCTTTTGTAGCTTCCTGACGGACAAGGATAGATCCATCCAGGTCTCACTCCTGATAAAGGTTCTTATTCTAAGATGAACCAGTAGTTGGGAATGGGAGATAGTTTCTCGTTGTTTACCGTGCAAATTTCGCGTTTTATCCGTGAAAATGATTGCTCCATCCATGCGTTTACCAGCTCTCCAGTTCTCCAGCTGTTTGAGGACCACAACGCGGCTCAATATGCCCGGATAGGCGATGGTCGAGATGCTGTAGCTGCCAGAGGGAAAAGTTCAAGATGAGTTGGGCACAATTGGCCAGAGGAGGACTCACCTGTTGTCCAGCTGTCGCCTGAGGAACAACGCGTTCACACAGACGCTCCACACGTGCAGCATATCCCCGGTGAACAGCCGGACATCGTGCAGCAGGAGGAACTTGCGCTGCATATTCAAGGCGCGACTTTCGTAGACGAACCTCATCAGCTGCTTCACCTGCCAGCCATTCAGCAGGGTCAACACGTACAGGTCGCAGTCACTGGCCCGGATGGCGCGCAGCAGCAGCTCCACTCGCCTGGACGGCCTGTGCAAATTCTCGCTGGCATTCAGCCGCAGCAGATAGTGGGGTCTGGGCAGAGGGCCCACGGCCTCGAAGTACGCCCGGTCGTAGAGGGCGTGGTGCAGGTCGTCTGTGATGACCGCAAAGCAGCGCTGCACCTGCGCCCGCCACAGCAGCCTCTCCAGCAGCTGCTTCAGCTGGCTCTGGTAGCTGTCCGCGGGCCTCGGACTCATCAGCTGGCTCCAATCCAGAGCTCCGGCCAGGCATATCCAAATGGAGAGCAATGCCAGTTGCATCCTTGCAGCACACACTATGCACTGTTGAGCGCTTTTCGACTTTTCCAACTCCATTTTGGGGTAAACCCAACTTGTGCGCCACATTCCGTATGCAGATCTAATTAAGCTCGCCTGAACCCACCTAAACCCCAGCTGTCACTCAGTGGGGTCACCCAGTTGCTCCGTTGGACGCTCGGACAGTCTGACTGTCGGATAGTCGTAGATTCGAACAGTTGACCTGCTTTACTAACATTTTAACTGGATGGCACTTGATCTAATTAAAGCTCTCAATGGAAACTAAAGCAATTGAATTCCAGAATTGACGAAATAGCGACGCAGGGAAAGGCAGAGCAAGAGAGAAAGAGAAAGAGGGAGAGAGATTACATGGTTTGTTTGGGACCTAAGGTTACAAATACAATACCTTCCCGATTGCAAAAGGCAAGGTGTTTCACCCTGAGCTTAAAGACGTTCGCATTTATATAATAAAAGTAAAAATATCTATTATCATAGATATTCACTCATTTTCCGACAACATGCGTGGATTTTCCTATACGGATTATTTATCTATCTAAAGCAGCGGTCGTGCTTCTTCAATCCACTATACAAATTTCAGGACTTACCTTTGGTATAATTTTTTGGGCAGTGCGTGACATACATACAAGGCTTTGGCAAAGAACAAGTAAGAGCAATCGAAAACAATCGACTTTTAAAGGAGTTGTTTGAGATTTTAATTTCGTGTATTTAAAGGTTCTTGTGAATGTCAAAATTACTGATAAAATGAGACAGATGGACATGAATACTTTTACTCGGTTGTTGGTGCTGATTAAGAATAAATTAAGCCAATGGGATTACAGATGCATCCTCATCCACATATATACATTGGCCAAACTACAATATACCCTTTCTTTTTTACGCATTTTCATGAAAATTTGATAACTCCTCTCCACCCCAGCTAATAGGCAATTGTCGACCCGTTGAACTGTTAATTCATAAAAGGAAGTTTAAATTCACCCAGATTCCACTCATGGTGGTGAATTTGGTGTAAATACAACTGCCAATTATAATCGTATCTGCGGTATTTGTCGGCTGAGCTCATGACCGTGGCTCTTTAAACATAAACGCCAGAGACTAATTTGAAATCAGACCGAAGCTAATTTGTTTGTCCGTCTTCATTAGATAGGTTCAGGGGAGGGCTAGAGGCACGGATAATCGGCCGGGCAATCGGTAAATGGGCGATCAAAGTGCGCGCAGACGCTAATGATAATGTAGACGACGTGTCACCAGGAATCAGTCAACCAAACCGATTAAGAGACGACCAGAAGCCAGATAACCAAATGCACATTAATGTCAGCTTAAGTCCAGAGACTCCCAAGCAAGAACAGAAACAGATACAGAGCCAGAGCCAGAGCCAAAAGAGCAGCGCGAAATGCGAAATCAAATCGTCTGAGAGAAACCCCGAGCGGATGTACCTGAGTCTAAGTCCAGGGCCCAAAAGACCAGCGGGAAGCGGGTTCGAACTCGCTTGTTGCTGCTGTTGTTGTTGTTGTTGTTGTTGTTGAGACTGAGGCTGAGGTTGTGACTGTTGCTGCTTCTGCTGTTTATTGTCGTGTAATTAACTTTTTCCGAATCTCCGGATTTGGAATTGTTTGCACATAATTGCAATTTAATTATTTCTTTTCTTTTTGTTGTACTGTGGTTGTTGTTGTTGTTGCATGTTTTTATGGATTTATGTCGGTCGCGCGGTCTGCTGCCGGCCATTAGCCATTAGCTGCAGGTAACATCATCAGCCCGGCCCGAACTCGGGGCAGGTAGCACGAGAATCGATCCGGCCAAGTGGCAGGTCGGCCTTAACGAGTGCGTTGCATGCCACAGACGACACAGACAGATTCCCAGTTTGGGCTGTCTCCCTTTTGCCCCGGCCGCACTCGGACTCGCACTCGCACTCGCGTTTTGTTTACATTGACACATTTTCTATATTTTCAGCATTATTTATGGATGGGTTTCTTCAGGTTTCTCATAGGCACACACACATGTGCGTGGGTCCTCACCCACCCCACGCGAGGGTAGATCCGCAGCAGATCCTTGTCCTGGTCCGAGTTTGAGTCCGGGTCCTGTCATTAGCTATGCTTCTGTTTAAAGTGCCTACAAAAATATCTTATGCGAATTTACTCTCGATTGTTGTCGTTTGTTGGTCAAAGTGTGAAATTACAAATGCCATGCTTAGGCCTGGGAAAATATCGAATCCTGCCACAGATTTCCCACCTTATGTGTCCAGTCGCAAGCTTATGCGATGGATTTCCCTCGGGCAGCTGCTGCGATGCGATTTGTTGGTCCTGTTCTGGTCAAATGTTTAATTATTTTTGGCACCGTTAATACACCTGTCATGGTGTCATTTAGTGAGAGCGATTTGCATAGCGGAAGCGACTAAAATTAAATCAGCCATCGCTGAGATCATCCCACTTAAGTTCTATTCCCACGCTTATATCAATCGATTCTGTCATACCATATTTTAGGCGAACGGGTTTCTCGTCTCTTTTTCTACTGTCGAACAAATCTATTCATTGATATTCTCGTATAATTCTCAAATTTTCAATTAATCGAAACACATTTAATACCCTCTGCGATATTTCTTTTTCTTTTAATTATACAGCATTAATTCAATTGAAGTTCTGCCCGAACTGCTCCCAAGCCAAGTTTATGCGTTCTAGAAGTCAAAAAAAAGATTATATTTTATATATTAATTTTTCAAATTAATTACGTGTGTTCGAGAATATGTACTATATGTGCATATATCTTTAGGTCAATTCTTTACGTTAAAATATACCACAATGTATTGAATAACTAAATATAAATTTATAAATTTATTAATGATAGGTTCGAACCCTCGCACTGGTTCGAATCCTTGACTTTAACCCCACTAAGCGAATGTCTTTAAGATTTGTCTTTATTTTCAATCAAACCACAATTCAATCAGAAATAAATTTATATAAAGAAAGGTGCGAACCCTCGCACTGGTTCGAATCCTTGACCTTCAATTACCTTAGAGCCCACTAAAAGGCTGTGATTTGTCTTAAGGTTAAGTCTTTTCTTTAAAATATACCATAATTCAATTAGAATACCTTGTCATATTAAAAAACTACATTTATATATAGAAGTTTCGAACCGTCGCACTGGTTCGAATCCTTGACTTTGACCATTGACCAGCTTAACAGCCACTACAAAGTCTGTGATTAGTTTTGGAGCAGAGCTTTATACTAATTAATGTACATACATATATATATATATGTGAATACCCTAGATTATAGATGGGGTATATACATGCTGTATGGAGGCGTTTCAATCAATCAGTTGCCAGTTAGAACTAAATTCATTAGCTTAACGAGGCATTATTAAATTATTCACGTTTAGAAATGTGCCAAGTCGAATGGGAACACTTTGTCCATATCAATGACTAATCTATGAATACATTTGTGTGTGCATGTGTGTGTGCACATACTTACACACACGCACTGTGGTATCTATAGAACATGCTATGTAGCTATACGGCAACATTTTGGTTCATTGAATAAAAACTTAATCAGCATTCAATTAAATGCACAGAGCTTTACAACAGCAACAATTCAGTCGGGGGTAGCAAAAGCCGGGGGATGGACAAAGGGGGGGGGGGGGATATTTTAAGTAGAGCCAGCAAAATAAAACGCGTTTTCGTTGATTATGTAAATCAATTGAGCTGCGAGATAAAAAAAAACACAAATTTTGCTGATATATCGTTCTTTAGTTTTATTTTCTGACTTTTTCATCTTTTATATCTTCCGTCTCGCTTTGACATGCGACGCCTGTTTGTTGTTTTAGTTGTGGGCCTGATGAGCGCTATACCCTGTTTGCCAATACGAGGGGTATATCAGCAGCTTGCAGCTCTTTTGACAAGCTCCACTTGTTCAGCCTGTGCCTATCTGCTTCCTCGCTGGATCACAGTACAGATGCGATTCAGCCTTTCCATCTATTTTCCGCCGTGAATCAGTTCCGCACAGCATTGTGAATCGTTCCGATGATAGGGATGAACAAAGAAACCTTTTCGCTTAACATTTAACTTTTTTGTTCTGACTAATTCGGGTAATAAACTGATGAAATATAATAATGGAGTACAACTCCATTGTTGCTCGGCCTGATAATGTAATATAGTCATGCGCTGACTAATGACTCGTGCCCCATATAGCCAGAGCACCTGTTGTCTTTTGTAGTCATGCCAAAGGAATGCAATTAGTTGAACTAAAACTTGACTAATTGCCGCAGGTTGCACCTTGACGTAAGCGTGTTGCTTTCTCTGATAATACTCTACCTCCCTACCTCCCCCTCCCACCCTCTCTCTCGCTCTCTCTAATAGAGTCTTTCTGCGTATATAGCAACACGTGTCCCATGTCACGAATCTGCAGAAAAGCCGCGCAAAGCTTGTGAAATTCTAAAGCCGAACCGCGGGCTGACTAATTCGCTTCCAGTCCGAATCAGAACTGTTGCCAAGGGTCAGAGCTGTGTTGAAATAGAGTTATTATGAATACACACATACATATACATAGGTTATATAGACCTCAAATCCGCACTGCGTCTAACCTTGGAACGTCCAATCGAAACAGAGGCCCGTCCATATGACACACATCTGATATCAGTTCGCCGTTCGCCGTTTGCCAAGTGATCTAATCAAAGTAAAAATAATAAAGAAAGAAAAAAAAAGTGAAGTCTTTGTGCGAACTCGGGTAGACGCTGTGTCTACGCGCTCAGCGACATGTAGCCCGGGGGTCGGGCAATGGATATGGAAATCGAAATGGAAATGGAAATGGAAATGAAAATGGGCCTGTTGGGTGTCGAGGAACACGCCATTTCGCTGGCCTATCTGAAGTGCAGTACGTTTCGCGATAAACACGCGACCTTGCGAAGGGTTCCCGTTCCAGCTCCCGCAATAAAATAACACAGCTACACCTCTGACTTTATACATACATATCAGATATATATATATATATATAACA